AAAGCATAGAAAATTATCTAATGAATTTGTGCAGAAAATTGATAATGAACTGTGATTCCACTCTAAAGCACTAGTAAATCTAACCGTCTCTCAACTTAAGTAATAAAGCAGATTTCCAAACAATTTTTCTGTCAACAGCATTTTGTCCGTAAATTTTATCTTAGCAATCCAATTATAAGACTTTTCAAGTTAACGAATTATTGTTAGCTAAATTGTGATCCTTATAGTTGTTTTTATACTGTAACAAAATTAAAAATTATCATTTTGACTACCTAAGGTAGCCATGGTTTGGTAGACTAGTACTTACACCGGTCAAATAGCCGAAATAATCAATATGATGCTGCTCCTCTCCAATTAAGTTAGATTTAGACTAGGATGAGAAGTCCTGACTAGTCAGCCAGTATGAATGCGATAGAGCGGCAGTAACGTTTTACGAATTCGCATGGTGGTCGGGCAAAAACCATGGTGGTTGAAGCGAAAAGAAAAAAATCTGGTGAGCAGTCGGACCTCGTTATTCAGATGGTAGATCATTGGGTCGGGAACCCGGTAGTTTCTGGTTCGAATCCGACAGCCGTCCAAACTCTCATTTCACCTTGAATCATCACCCAGTATAAAATTAAAAATAACTAACAGATCAAGAACCGGTTGAAAAAGTAAGGTTCTTCCGTTAAAAATGATTTATCATAGTGTTCAAGATTACTTCTAACCACTTTCATATTGCATCACTGAATCCAGTTGAGCGAAACCATAACAAACGTTTCGTAGATTTTTTAGTGGTCTACAACATCTTACGTTAGCAACCGCCGCTTTGGCATTTAATTTTTGCACATTTAAAGAATATTCTATCTGTTTTAAAGCAGCACAACGACACCTATATTTGTTATAAATAAATAACGGTTTGCGATTGAAGAAGAGTTTGGGATTGCATCATTCAAATAGGGGCTGAAGGAAACAGCATACTTTGAATCTATACATGATTAAAGAGATAACTAATAAGGGCTATAAAAGCAATAAGAAACGTGAGATTTAGCAAAACGAAATGCTTTTTAAGATATAATATATAATATTTGGATGTCTTCTTTACGTAGACGCGAAAAAGAAACAAACGCGGATCATAGTGAGTAGTACTGGTGAATAACTCTCATAACATAAAAAAGTAAGACTAAGTTGTTGTAATGATGAAATGGGTTGTAAAACACTGTTCCATCAACCACCTTCAGATTTATTGATGACTCAGTAAACAATTAAGCGTTTTTCAACAGTTTCCACCAATAAGTGAAAACGATAAGCGTTTGTTGGTATATGACCAGTTCATTTGAATACCTGGTCATTACAAGTTGATTACCGAAATAACTTATTGCCATCCATTCTATCCTGGACTTGTGTTGTGATTCAGTGACTTCATACGCAATAGTTTGTTTTCTGCAAACGTAGTCTCGCTCGGTGAGTCTATCGTCACTAAAATGGAGACATGTTACTTTACTGAAATAAATCTTTCCCGCTCATAGCTACACCTATACTAGATCCTATAACTTAGAGTTGTTATGCACTGACATGTCGAAATTACTCAAAGCCATATAATTAAGTCTCATCGGAAAAAGAAGTAAAAGTTCACGATGCGCCACACCTAACACGTCGTGAACTTTCAGGGGAAGGTATTGGAAATTTTACTAGTGACTATTAATCGTATCTGTTACTTAATCTGCCTGCCTAAAAATTAAATTCTCAAACCGTAGAAAACCTAAATCGATGTATAAAAATACATTGAGATTTAAGCTTTTCACTGGCACTCTGTGTCTAGTGGCGAAGTATCAGCTCCTCCTTATGTGCGAATCTGACATTCGATATAATTTGTATTTTTATGTCACAGAGTGTTTGAAATGAAATAACTCTAACGTTGCGCACGGAATTCTAGTTCGAAATTCTTCGGGGAAAATATTTACTAGTCTTAAATATTAAGATGCAGATGTTTATTTAAACAGCGTAATGAGAAGACGAAGATTATCTGAAACATGTGATGTATTAGCGCTATACATTTCGAACAATCTGATCACACATGGACTTGTCGAACTATTTATATGAAAATTTACGAAAAGGTCAATGAAGTTAATGGGAAACATAGGAATAGGAAGGGATAGAAAAAAAGGAAAACCTTATTCTTGGTATAAAAATTAAAATCAATACTACTAAGGTAGGTTCAACGTGAGTACAAATTGTTTTTGTATACATAAGGGGGTTAAAATTTACGGATGACAAGAGCTTCAATAAATTTAGGCACTCGGCTCTGACCAGTTTTCTCTTCAGAACTATATTTTTTCGATATGTCAACCACTAAATTCACTAAATATTATTCAGACACGATGCATGAACAAATTGTTTAGAAATATTTATTTCTGCGGACATTTGAACTGATCTCACACGTCACCACATTTGAAGATCATAATGCTTAGCTATTCAAGTTACGAATGACTTTGACTAGGACTGGATTCAGTGTAACAGCTAGCAAGCGAATTTTGCTGTCAATCTCTTTCATGGAAAAGTAAATCTTTTGAAGGTTGCAGACATGCCTTGTTGATCAACACCAGCCATCATGAACGTCAGATGATTGTCCTTTGCTGACTAACTCGTGAGCCTAATAGTCATCGTACTTGTCATAGTTTATAGCGTTCTGCGTGAAAATCAGTGTATTGTCTGTGTTCTTTATGAATATTTCGCTTATTTGTTTAGTTTTTACAACATCTGTTATTGAATGGTGTTTTATATCGTTTATTAATGCTGAAATTATTGGCTGCACCTCCACTTCTTCGGTTGAAAGTAAGTATAGTGATGACTTTTAGCTTCACCCACTTTGATCAAAACTAACTAACAGTTATACTGCTAACTGTCCAGTAACCGGTTCCTCTATGGAAAAGTAAAGACTGCTCGTGAGAAATTTTACTACCACTGATTTGTAACAATAATAATAACAATAGTAATAATAATGGTCACTTTGTTCCAAACAATGTTTTGGTACAGTTTCGAATTTTCAGCATGATATATGTATACATACAATAATTCAAAGTGTCAGTATAACAGTGTAAGTTATGTAAAAAATATATGTAAGGATGAAAATTTTACATTGTTAATGAAAATGTTGGAAACAGCTTATTTACTGTTGCAAACTTAGTGAGTGAGTTCTGTTCTAGCACTTTTTCTATACATAATATGCTTACTTGAAAAAGGCACAATCGAATTTTCGTATTTAGCCGTACAAGCGAACATTCCTGTGCAGTTTCTTTTTTCATCCCCGAGGAGATACAAGGAGAGAGCAGTGAGTTAAGTGGATGCTCATTGTCAGTTAAAATCACTGCAGCTGGTTGCCTGCTAGAGTTTAAATGTCTTTCAACTGCAGTGGTAATCACTTTATCAAGGGGCAAAGCACTTAAACTACTGACAGCTTTCAGCGTCCTACGTAATATAACAGTCCTGTTAGAGTAGGCCAGGAAAGATCACCAGGGAACAATGAAGAATAATAGATAAAATACATGAATTAATGAATTGTAAAAGTAGGGGTTGAGTTGTACCAGAGCATTTCAGTTTTTTTATATAATACGTTGAAAGTAAGATTTTTTTACAAGTCAGCAAGATATGAAGTGACCAACAAAGTAGAAGTAAAGCTCAATCCAAGATAGCTAACACTCGATTTACTTTCTACACAAATACCAGCAATGCAGCAGGAGTCATGAAGCTTAAGCAGCTCACACAAGTCTTTACGCCTGAGGCTAAAATTAACAGTCTGAAATTTGGAAGGGTTTACCTTAAGACCATTTGACAGAGACCACTGGTCAATTGAAGACAAGAATCCGTTTAATTCGAAGTACTCTGGGTGAGAGTTAGCTGGCACAGAATAAAGTGAATTATAAACATCCAAGCCATAGTTGCTACGACTATCCCGAAAGAAGTTGAGTGAGGAGTCAGGTTGATTCATTATAATATAAATAATATAAATAGTGCAGAAAGAACGAGAACAGAAACGTGGGAAGTATTGCACCTTGATGCACACCAGCTTCAGCAAGCAATGAAGCGGAACGCCTTCTTTTATGAACAGTATACTGTTTCATTTCAGAAAAATAAAAATACAGCCACTTTGCAACCCATGGCTTATTATGAGCTATGGCACGCTTGTTTAACAAGAACGGTCTACGAGCAGTCACAGGCTAACAAATGAAACAAGAAGGCAGAATGAACATATTTCGCACTTTTTTCTAGACTAGAAACAATATCATAAAGCAGGACGGTGGCAGACTCTTAAGTTCTTCTTCTGTATTTGTAAGCAAATTATTTTTGATCTCTGAAGGCCTTCAATGAACTTTCGGGCACAAAAAAAATTAATTTTTCTATTGTCCTCAGAAAAGTAAAAGCTATAGTGATGGTTGGAAACTTAACATTTGATCTAGAAGATCACTTAAAGACAGGTACAATTTTAATTTCCTTCCAAGCAGCAGGTACTGGATTTCTCGGAAACGATGAATTGATGATATCTGTAAGAAGACGACATGAAATATCTACATATTTTCTAAATACCCTACTCGAAACACCAACAGAACCCAGACTCTGAGATGGGTTCAAGGATTTAAGACAATTAAATACATCATGTGTATTAAAACTAAGAAAGCAACTATCTATTTGACTATGGACTGTAGGTACAATGAAACTAGCTTGTCAACACATAAATGACTAGTGTAACGCGCAGACATTAGAACAAGCTTCTTTTGTTATCCGTTTTGTTACGGGAATATCATGTGATTACTTTTTGGCCAAATGTCTTTAGTCGGAAGAAATCAGGTGATATATATATATATATATATATATATATATGTAACTGAACTTCTAAATCGCTAATTTATAAAACCGATTACTAAATCAAGAATGATGCGTGTAAAATATTTTCGCCTATATGCACATAATATTTGGCTTACCGCTTTTTGGTTTTCTTTCAAATTTTTGGCGAATTTAACTAGGTTGTTGAAACTGACAGTGAAGTGGAACTACGTAATGCAGTTGAAAGTTTCCGTCAAAATTTACGTCATTCAATTAATCCAAAAAATTTGAACAAATTCATAACTTCTTACATGCAGTGAGTTCACTTTGAAATGATACTGTCCAGTTTTTACGTCATAGAGCTTTTTCATTCTGATTTGCATACGATTTGCTTCAGTTTATTGCTTCCATTGAACTAAAAGTAACTGATGTGTTTCCGAATGCTTATTAGTATTTTATATACTTGCGTCAACATCAAAAACCTAACATTGGTTTCATTTTAGTTTGTTTCTTGGATAACGGTCTCATTTAAACCTAAAAGTCTACTTAGAATCAATCTTTGTGGGTTAAAATATCCCACTGATTCAATTAGGTAGCCTCATTTCACTGTCATAGAAATCCTACAAGAATGCATATAACCATCAAAATTTAATCACTAAAATAATCCAGTTGAGCAACTACGAGGAGATGAAGTTTAACTACAAGATAATCTGTGTTGCGCAAGGAGCATTTCTCATGTATCTGTCACTTGGAGAATAATACTGTAATGTTTGGAGCAGCAGGTAATAGGTGGGAGTCTTAGCAAGAAAGTCATTATCAGTTTAGATGCCAGTCTACATAACTAAACAGTTATAAATTGAATCAAGTACTCCTTCTGAACACTTCTATTTGCTGAAACGGAAAAATTCAGACATACAGATAAACCTTACACATAATTGCATCAGTTCAAGTTCCCACACTTTACAGTAGTATTTAAAGAAGAAAAAGATAGAAAAAACTAATCTCAAAGAAGAACAAGGTGTGTAAGAGGAGAAATAATTCAAAAATTGAGCCTAGTCAAGACATTCAAGCTTTAGAATAGAATATGCCATAGAGTGAATACATCCACATCACTATGACGGATAAGCAGCCATTTTATCACGAGTTCTCAACCACTGATTCCTACCATCACTGGTTGTAAACTGCCTTGAAAACTGAACGAATTACTGGAAAATCTAAAGTCACCAAAATCCTAACGTTTGTTACAAAAAGTGATTTTTTATTCGGAGGTGATATTAACAGAATGTTTGCAAACCCTTAACTGATCTTTACTTCTTCACAGTACTCTTTTCATCCAACATACAAAGCTATCAGATTTTGCATAAAGAAGATGAGAGATTGCGGAATAAAGCCTTATTGTAACACTGAGTAATTCAATGTGTAGCAGGATTTTGTGGCCTGTTTTACAAGTTATTTAACTTTTGACATCTTACGCTGGTATGGGACGGAATTTTTCAGATTAACTGTGAAGAGGGAGTTTAAATGGATTTATTAAAGTTTTATGTCGCAAGAATGTTTTTAATAAGGATGTACTGAAACTGCATTCAATTAGCAGAAACTTGATATAAATCAGTTCAGTACTAATTCATAATAATGATACTTCTTGACTCATTTCATCAGAATGGATCCATTCTCAATAAAAAAAATCCTAAATGCTGGAAAATTGATAATATTTATGCCTCTGTCTCCGTACACGATGAATCAGTTTTAACCTTTATGCTATAACCAGAGAAAAAGACAACTAAAAAACTATTCGTGCAATTAAGAGTAGGTGGTTACAGACATTATTGAGCTCATTATGCAAACAACAAATTCTTGGTTGTGTTGTGTTCTCTGAGCTGGGTGGTTTAATCGTGAAACTTTCATTGCCTTTCCAGACAACATCATCAGCGCTTACTTCAGTACGAAGCGAGCTTTTCGTATTTCTCCGTGAGTGATTCAGTATCTTGCTCTGACGGAGTGATGATCAGTAGTTTCTTTCGATTTACAACATATTTTCAGTTCGGTCATAAGATATCAGAACAAATTAAGTGAGCTCCGCTGGGATCACCTATTTCTGGATTAACTAGAGAAGCAGCTTTGCAGAGACTTGAAGCCATTATTTTACTCGTGATCGAAGCGAAAATTCGAATCTTACATGTAAACGATACTTTTGTCACCATCAAAAAGAACGAACACAAAAACGCCTACAGTTTGATCAAAAACGTTTCCAACGACATCAAGTTCACAATACGGAAGCGATCAGACAGTAAATTATCACTCCTGAATTTTTTAGTCAGTAGAACCGATGTCGGAAAATTGGAGAATCCTAAGTACAGGAAGTCAATACACTGATCGAATCCTCAGCTACTGCAGCAACAGCCCAATAGTGCTAACAGATTTTAATAAAAAGAGGAATAAAATACTGAGAGAACGGAAAAATGACTTGATATCTTTCCTAAAGAAGTGGGATTAACAGCGAAACTTCATCATAAGATGCCCATCCTGTTCATCGTCAATTAAAAAGTCACCTACGAAAACCGGCAGACGGAATATTCTATCATAAATAAGTAACATATCAGAGATCGCGAAAAAATTACTGAGATCATTCGGAATTGGTGTGGTTTATAAACCAACAAATCCTCCTCAAACTTTATTATCCACACTAAAGGATGCAACAGCTACAAATGGCAAACCAAATATTGTTTACGAAATCAACTGCAACAATTTCGATCAGCACTGGATTGAATAAAGTGGTCGCCTTCTTCACCTTCATTCGACTACTAAACACTACAAAGTTTTGTAGCTCATATCAATCCACAAGGACTTAACTGTGAGAATATAGAAATCTTGGGAGTGTAAACACAATGAGTTTTAGAGAATTTGTGAAAGCTTGGCATTCAGGTCAATCAGCCATCGAAATATGGTTAAATATAGACCCATTCTGTCAATCGAATGAAAAGTGATAGACAACTGAAAGGCCAGAGGTCAGATAGGCAAACAGACAATATGACACAATAATCGAAGGGGATTACCAGTCACAAACCACTTCATCAGAACAAGCTACTGAACCACTCACAGAGAAACACGAATGATTCACTTCTTACTGAGGTTAATGCTGATTACGTTGTCTATAAAGACACTAAAAGTTTCACGGTTTAACTACTCAGTTCAGAAAACGCAAGCACAACATACGATCACACGAAAATTGATAATCATGTGACACTAATTAGGTATATTGTAGTCGAATGAGCTTAGAGGACAGTATTTCGGCAATTCAACATAACAGTATACCACAGACGTTTTATACTGTGAATAATGTGTAAAAGTGCATAACCTGAAAGTACTTCAAATGACTTTCCTGCAGTTGCGGAATCCTTTGAAACTGGAGAGTATTACAGGTATGTATAACCCTGATTGAGATTTCGCAGCGAGCAGGTAACGATTAAGACACCGAAGTGGAACTCATTGACTCATATCAACATCTTCTGTCAATTGTCTTCATAATGTAACCATCATTATCTTCGACTATATTCCTTCTCACTCAGTCTTGACGACCCCAGGGACCGTAGCTTCCAAAAACAGTTTTGCACCCTCGTTACGATGCCAATAATGTGTAAATCACAGGTGGTATTGGGTAGCAGTGGCGCCATTCATTTGTCCCCTGAGTTGATATTTGTTGATATTGATTGCCGTTTCATGAGTAATATTTATCGTATGACAACGGTTTATTTCAGGAACGTATCAGTTAATGCTAAATTACCATACTTATGGAACAAATTCCTGGAAGCATTCCTGTTGAATAATCTATTTAATTTTGCTCCATCTTTCAGTTCATTGTAAACAAAAATCTTCTTGCTCAGCTCTCGGAATCTTGATCTTTAGGATGATTTAAAGTCGTTAACTTTAAAATGTTGCATCAAGGATATTTTCAGCTCTTTTATTTCCTAAAAATCGTGGAATCGAGCAAAAGTCTTGTGCTCACTTGTGGCTTGTTTCAAGATGGACTTCCTGCAGTTGTAATGTGAAAGCTTGGACCTGGAGCGTTGACCGTGATGAAAACTTGTTACGTGCGAAAACGTGACATGAAGTAACAAGATTATGCATAATTAATAGATAATAAACACTAATATATCGATACAATATCGGTAGCCGTATAGTTAACGCATACACCGATTAGGTATTAACATTTTGGCGGTGATAGAAGGCACCAAAATTCAATCAACCTACCTCTTGACTGCTTCAAAAAGCCTGAGTCATAACTGTTAGTAGGTAACTGAGGATTGCTTTAGCTGTTGTCTATCAGATGATATATGAGTTTCAAATTCATTGGTACACGCTTTTAAATAAAAAATAAAACATCATATACCGCTTGAAATCCTATCTTCTAATTTGAGTTGACTAGTGAGTTACTAAGTGCTAAGGGGATTGTTTTGGACTGCTTCGATTTCTAAGAGTTGTGTTATCTTTTATTCCCTGGCTTCTTTGCTTACAAGGTAATGCTGTAGGCAACAAGTGTTTCAGTCGAACCATGGTTATAGAAAAGAAATAATACCTACAAAATGTTAACTGGAGTAGTCGGACAGAAATACTGAAGCGAACTTCATAGGAAGAATTGTTGTCACATTTTGCAAAGCTACCCAGAGAGGGAGTCCACAGTATCTGAATAACATAACCTAAAAAAAGCGTGCTTGAGAATATAATGAACATGATAGTGAATTTCGATAAACTGTCCAAAATTTCAAAAATGAAGTGTGAATAAATTTACGGCAGTATGATAGATTTTGAACAATATTATCGAACGTTTCTGACCGTTTAATCATCAATCTCAAAAATTCCGAATAGAAGGCCTAGATTATCCTACCCTCCGCACACCAACAGTCAGAGACTGCATGAACTAACAAACTAGTGGTTTAACCACCCTAAATTTCATCACACATTATCCAACTTTTCTTGAAATTCCTCATCAACGTAAGTGCAAGCTTTACATGTGTAACACATCTACAAACCGTCTCAGTTGTTAACGTCACATTCTAAATTAGTGTTGTACACCAAATCTCATTATTTCAAACTTTATGAATCCAGTGAATGCTAACGATTTTCTGAAGAAATGTACAATCGAAAAACTGTCAACTCATTATGTCTTCTGCCTTCCTAGGTAATAATTCTTCGCTGAACAAGTAGATAGTATGAACTGCTGTGCAATCCTCTCGTCGACACATTTAGGACATGTGTGAAATATATCCATCAGGAAATGAAAGAAGAACAAGTATTTCAGGGAAGGTTCTCTTTTCGGCG